TCAAAGTTCTTTCTTTGTTTCTATGTCCCTTGCTTTAACAGATGCACGCTCAAAATCACCTGGACTCCTGTTGACAAATCTGTCCTACTCAAATTCAAGAACCCACCCAGTAGAGTCTGGCCTGAGGTAGACCTGCTGCACCCTGGTCCCTTTTGGTAACAACTTCGTTACGTAGAGAATGTTTCATGTGTGGCTTAACAAGAATGCCTCCTCTGCATTTGAATAGAATGTTTTGTGTATATATACAGGATTACAGTTGCTCTAAAATGGAGTCAAACTACAGTAATTCCATATTTATTTCAGACAGGATGACCTAGCCTTTGTGAAAGGGGAATATTGAAGTTCTCTACTAACATATATTTTTTTCTGCTTTCAGATCATTCATTATTTGCTTAATGTTCTTAGTTATTCTGTCCTTGTGTGCATATTACTTAATGTTGTTAAGCTCTTGATTTTTCTTGTATTCATGGGGTAGGTTGTGGCCAAGGGGATTCTTATTGGAATGCCTGCCGACATACTCTGTAGGGTCCTCTGATTTGTAACGTCCGGTGTTGCAGGGGCTGCTGTGGTTCCTAAGAACAAAGTTCCACCACAGAACACGCCACTAGGGTCACATAGCGCAAGCTCTGCAGATAACAGGCATTTTTCAATCCTTGTGTTTTGAACCATGCCATTTCCACACAGGTTTGCTCACCCAGTCAGCCTTTCCTCTTCCTCTCTTTACTGCTGTCCAGTATTGGTCCAGGCACATCTACACTAATAAAAGAGAAACATGGTAATTGGCGTACGACCATTACCCTTTTCATTGGCTAATCAGCGAGATATGCAAATTAACTGTCAGCCAAGATGGCAGCCGGCAGCCAGGCAGCTTGAACCTAACATGAGGCTTACTTGCCTCAGTGACGGAGGAAACCAACATTCCCCGCCTGCGGCTGCAGGCCTCTGAGCCTGCAGTTTGAACATTGTAACAAATGCCACCGGACTTCAGCCAGCAGATTCATAACATTGTATGCAAAGGCCAGAAACCTACTTTCAGCCGCAGAGGCCTAAGAGCTGGAGCCAAGTCTCAAAGCTAAAGCTGGCCCAGAATTAAAAAAAAAAAGAAACGAAAAAATAGATGAGT